GTTTTCAGCTTCTCGTTTGTTTAGGTGATGTGGTCTCCTGTGAGCTGAACAACAACACAGTTTGATTTAACCCACCGTTTGCTGAAATCTATTAACAAATAATCCTGATTAATTAGTAGAATCTAGACTTTTAACAGTCTTATACAGAACTGTGCAAAGTGTTGTTTATATTGTGCTATGAAAATGTGATATTGGTGCAGTAATTTATAGATATATGTGCAAAGAACTGCAACAAGCAGTATGTAAGAAAAAAATAGAATTTGTACAATTATAACAACCTTGTCAATATTTGGTATGAATGAACTCACATAAACTAAAACTACTAGTTTTGGACTGTGTGCAAACATTCTTAAAATACCATTTTTCACATGGTGAGGGAAATTTTTCGCACTCATAGATAGATAGATAGATCGATCGATCGATCCTTTGTGGCCTCCCAGCCTCCCTATTGGTGTGATCTCTTTTGGTCAATCACTACTGGGAGAGGTAGCAGTGGTCTTGAGTGGATTGTACACTGACTGTCAGACTGTAGATGTTGAGGGCCAGCCTCTTCAGAGACGGTTCTGTTAACCTTATTTTACACTGGCGAGCATCAGTAACTGTCTTTCCGATACTGAACATTCACTTCTATTCACACTAGTGTTTCAACATAACAGTCAGATATGACGTTAGCTTCTCTGTCATTAGGAGTCGAAGGATAATGTGCAAAAAATGTGTCAACTGTACAGTTTGTACAGAGGTTGTCTAATAATTTTATGTTGGTATTACATAAAGGTAAACGATTCGCATATATGTCATATATTAGTCGAATATGTAAACATTAACAAACATATAGGATAGTTAGTATAAACGAGTGTTTTTCATGGCTTTGCAGGCTCATATTCGCTAACGGCGTTACCCTTTTTTAACTTTGTACAGGCAGTTCAGTAACACCTTGCATTAGATTTCTCATTGATGCTTACCTTGCATCACCTGTTTACAGTGTACAGTTGCATCAGTGAGATGAATATTTCACTGCAGTTTTACTGTAGGTAAATTACCCATAGGAACAGACCTGGGATCAGCTTGACTTATACACCCTATGAGTCATAAATGAAAACTATGAAAGCACAAACCTAGAGAGGCAGCTTGGTGCAACTATAAGACCAATGCCTTTATAATAATGCAACAGCTGAGAATATGTTATGCAGCTACACAACTTACATATATCATGTTCACAGTACAAAATAAGGTAAGTTGTTCAACAACTACACACCCCTGAGGGCACTGCATCTAGCCTGTATTTCATTTATGTTTTATCTCTGAAGCCCATATAAGTACTTTTTAATGGACACAATAACATTTCAATCTAGCTCAGCCAAAACAGGCTGTATGTACGCTACATATCTGAGTTATCCAATCGCTGAAGCTGTCTCTGCATCACTGGCCAATCACAGCTTGACATGACATGATTTTGAAAAGACGTCGTAGATGTTCGTCCAGATTGGCCAAACACAAAAGTGACGTTAGTCCTTGTGGAGCATGTTTATAAGTGAACTGCTGGTAATTATGGGAACATCCTGCAGTAAGTGGCGAAGACCAGGACCACAAGACAAATCAAAACCTTTTAAGGTAAGATATCTTTGTGTATGTTTCATCTTTAGATTTAGGCCATAAGCAATGACATTGGGCCACTGTGTGGAATCAAATAGCAATAAGTTCCTCCATGGCTCTATTATTTGGGTGCTAAATGTAAAATTAAAGTGTATAGCAAACGAAAAGTGTCAAGCATCAGAGTTTTTAATCAGGTTATGAAGGGCATTAGAAAGACTAATAGTTCTTGAAACAACACAATTCTCTGGTGCAAACACATTTTGAAAAAGCAGATCTGTGGAATGGGCATGCCCTTCCATCTATTTTTTTGTTGGCTGCTGGTTTTCAGCCTGTTTTCTTTAAATAGTGAACAGTAAAACCTAATTGGTCTTTCTAACAACCTTCCAGCTCCTTTGTTCTGCAATGTCCAACAACACTCTGAACACTGCCTACAATCATTCTGCAAACTCTACCAACCCCAGTGCGGTCCACATTCGTCCGCTATGGTACGAGTTCCCAATATGCGCCGTGGCCCCTTATGGCTACATTTTCTACTATGGAGTCAAGATGTTCAACCTGGCAGTAGGGACTCCGTGTAACATCTTGGTCATCTGGCAGATCATAACCAAGAAAAGCGACGCTTTCACATCTGACACCTTTATCCTCAATCTGGCCATACTGGACGCCTACTTCTGCCTCATGACGCCCGTCGACCTTGTCAATGGGTTATTGCTGAATGACAACGGCATCTGGTACTTTAAGCGATTGGCATATGGAATCAAAGACTTAGCGCCACTCTTTCTGGTGAGTTTTTCATTTGTTGCACTAGTGTATCAGATGTTTTCAAATAGTCTGATGTGCGAAGAAATCAGACCACTGGAGTGTTTTTTGTTTTGTTTTGTTGCTCTCCCAGTTCAATAAAAAGCTAAAGCTATAAAATTATTATTATCAATTTCGTTATTTTTCAAAGCACCATGAAACACAGTCTTTCTTCTTGTCTAACAACCCAGGTGTGTATTTGTCTGGACCGCTACATGGCTGTGGTCCAACCCGTGCTCTTCGCTGGCATCCGTGACAACAAAATCCGAATCGGGATTTCTGTGGTGGTGTGGGGCCTCATATTGGCTTACGCCCTGGTGAAGTGCATCCTGGGACGCATGCCTGTCGATGGCGTCTTCAGTGGCATCATCCTTTTTGCGTTTGCATTGATGATCTTTTGTAACATCTCCATCATCTGGGCCCTTCGGCACTCTGTGACGGGAAAAGAGGTGATGCACCCGGTGAAGAAGAGGGCCTTCAAGATGGTGCTGATTAACCTGGCCATCATCGTGGTCAACTACTTGCCACCCGTGGCGCTCATGCCCTTTGCGTCATACTACACGGCTGTGGCGTTTCAATGTCAGATCCGCGTCAGTGTGTACTCCATCATGGATCTGAGCTGCAGCATTGAGCCTCTGCTCTACATCACAAAGATGGAGCGTGTGGAAGGCACATGCTGTGGAAAGAGTGTCTGTGAGAAGCCGCTCGATGTCACCACATAACTGAACTTCTAGTCATAAATCCATCACAAAAGTTTTTCAGAGAAGACCGTGCATGCACTGTTATACTTTTATTTGAAGAATTTTGTCCTGTGTGATCCGGAGAGCCGGTAAGAGAACACCGTCAAAGCTCTTGAGCTGGTGGACAAACCTAGCTTTAGTTGAAATGTAACCTAATTACTATCTTTTTCACTAGCTGTTATGTGGTTGTAATTCTTACTCCATGCATATGATAATTAGTAAATAGTTGCTAAATAGTTGCAATATCCAGAAGAAATACATAATCGATTTTCAACAAACCACAATTTAGTAATTCCTTGAGTTAAAAGCAACTTTTTGGAAAACTGGAATAAGTTGCCTTATTATTATTGCAATTAGAGAATGGGCTTTAAAAAATATGAAAAGAAGTGATTTTTAAATTTTAAAGTCACTTAAAAGCCTATTTAGGCAGCTTTTAGCGGCGGTATCATCTGAATTTCAGGAGCGGGACCACTCCTCCTTCACGCCCCCTCTGGCCTGAGGCTATAAAACCCCCCCTTCTCCAATACCTGCTGTTCTCATTTTCATATTGTGATATTTATATGCTCATATTTTCACAATTGTAAAACCTTACTGTGGATGTAAGAGCCAAATTATGTAGATATTTTGCATCCACTTTATTGTGTAATGTTTTATTTGATTGTATTTGATGGTTGGGCCCCAGGAAGACTAGCAACCACTGTTGTGGAAGCTCATGGGGTTTACTTATAAACAAATAAACAAATAAACAGCATCCACCACAACCAGTTGTTTCTTATTCACACTTGTAGTTTGTGTTCTCATCTACTTATCCTCTGAAGGTTTATCGTAGTTATTGTTTGGAAACGATTGTGTTCTTTCATAAATCCTCATTTGCATTCAGTAGCAGAAGGCTAGTGTTTCAGGGGTTATATCGGCTAATGGGATAACAATTCAGCTATCCCAGGACTAGCTTATGAGCACCAAGGTAAGTGGAATTAAGAGGACCTACAGGTCTTTTATTATCATCACTTAGATTAGGCTTTGCCTCTAATGGAACTGTTGACATTTTAGTTTTATGTAGTTAAGCTGTCTTTGTGTCAGGAATTTAAATTCAGGCTAAATTCTGCTCCTCACATACAAGGACTTGAATCATCAGGCCCCATGTACGTCATAGTACCATATCCCCCCAATAGAGCACTTCACTCTTAGACTTCGTTCCAAAGGCGATAGAGGCTTCATCTAGCAGGCATCTCTCCAGTGGAACCAACCCCTAGCCTGGATTCAGGAGACACAGCCTCTCTACATTTAAGATCAGACTTTAAAACATACAGTTAGGGCTGTCCTGTCTCCATCTGCTCTCTACCCTTTCCCCTCACCCCCAGCTGCTCGAAGCTTATGGCTGCCCCTCCCTAAACCTGGTTATACTGGAGGTGTCTTTTCTGATAAAAAGGGAGTTTTTCCTTCCTACAGTTGCCAGGTGCACATAAAAGCGATCGTTAAAGAAGTAAAAGAAGCTGTTGGCTAGTGAGCACACCAGACAAGTAAATAAATTACTTTGAACCATGGAGATTACTCCTTGAAGACTTTAGCTAGCTCTCTGCTTTTTCCCCATTGCAACCAGCAGCAGAAACCCTCCTCATTAACTCTTGAACATCTTTTGGACCATTATAATGACAGCCAGGGGCACTGCCTGTATTACAGAGCACCGATTAAGCACTTTATTAATTAATTAATTAATTAATTAAGTCTTACAACAGAATCACACAGAGGGACCAATTAGTAGATGTGTAATGAGCGAGCACACAGATTATGCAAGCAAACGAACTAAACACATAACAATCGAATTATTCAGGAACATAAATAGCACAGTGTAATGATGCTATGACATAACTGAGCTTTCTGCTCTGTATTTCTGAGGTAAACTGTACATGTTTACTGGTTTTTGGCAGAGTACAAGTGTGCAATGACACTGATGTTTTAATCTTAACATTGTTGGATTTTAAAGAATGTATTTAATACGTGATTTAGAGTAATTTGTAAACTTTAATCAGATATTTGATGTCTGAATCAAATGTTTGTCTTGCAAAAAATGAACAGAGTCACTTAGAAGTACTTAGATAACCAGCTCGGGTGTAGTGATTGTGCAAAGAGAATGGTGATTATTTGGTAAAAACAGTATCAGAGTCAGAATCAAAGAGCATTACATTTGACTGATTTTAGTGTGCATTATCTTCAGACTCTCTAAGCTGGCTTCAGGCCCGTCTTCTGATGTCACATATCCCGGGTAAGTGGGGTAAAACTGGGGAGACGGTGGTTTATCTGGTTTATTTTCACCCGCCAACAATGGCGGCAGGAATAGTGGTATCAGCTTGGCATGAGCGTAGTCGATCTCAAAACCCTCAAAAATAAGCCCCACCCCCCAAGCGCCCAACCCATCCTCCAGGAGCCACGACACCTTCTTGGTGGCCAGCACCAGTCTCTCGTAATCTTCTTTTTCCAGTCTGAATATATCAGAGGTCAAAGGTCGGCGTGGGACTAACACAGTGAATCCAGGAGAGTTGGGGAATGGAGTGAGAAAAGCCACATGACCTTTGTCCTCCCACACGCGCCACTGCTGCTCCTCACCACGAACAATACGTGAGAACAGCGAAGGGTGAGCCGGATCGTCCCCGAGGAAGGTCAGATCAGGGGGGGCATCAGGCAGCGGCAGTTTGGCTCGAATCCTGGTCTGGATTTCAGTCAGGCTGGAGTCACTCCATCGTGGGGCAGTCCTGGAAGTGCAGTATCCCGGGTCATGGGCGTTGTGCTCTTCTTCCCCAGCCAGATGAGGGCGCCACTCTGCGTCCAGACCACACAGGGGGAGGATACGGATCTGTAGTGAAGACACGTGTGTTTGCTAACTGAAATTTACACGGAGGGAGCTGTCTACATGCGTTTACACGTGCTGTTAAAATGCATCATCAGCCTTTCAGATTGCTACTGGTTACACTTTACAGTGAACAGGTCCACCCAGTGTTCAGGCTCTCACCTGAGCAGGTCTATCTCTGTGGGGTCTGCTGACCAGCGCACACCTCCGAACTCCCAGCCTGTCACAAAGCAGCTCTGCCACAGCTCTCGCCCCAAGCAGCCAGGACAAGTACTCTGGCTCCCCCAGGTGGAAAATGCTGCCTCCTTGGGTCCCGGGGGTGCTGCTCTCCAGGATGACAGAGCCCGGGGTCCAGGGCCGAGGGTGAAGGTAGGCTACCAGCCCATCTGACTCCCAGATGACGTGACGCTGAAGAGCGGACGACATGCTGAGGAAAGGGAAGGAGAGAAATATGAATCAGCTCTTAGCTCTTCCCAATAGTCTAAGATGAATTTAGTGAAAACTGCTGTTTCTGACTACGCTACACATCTGACTCAGGCGCACGTGCTGGGTATTGGCGCACGTGACCTTTGTGAAATTTAGTCACTAAATTAAAACGCATGATTTTAATGGAGTCATCCTTTTAATAGCTTATGTTTAACTCTGTATCAGACAGCTGCATGCCATTTCTAAAATAAATAAACGAACAAACAAAAACCCGCTAAATTATTTCGTTAATGCAAATAAACGTTATGCCGATAGAAACCTTTGACTCAATTAAACACGTATGAATGTTGTCACTTGTGCTGAGATAAAAACATGTTCCTGGAATAAAACAACAGCTTTCAGAACAGAGTTTGGATTAACAGTCTGCCATTAACATGAATGTTTGCGTAACTTGAATCAACATACCTTCTAATAATAAGCCTTGTGAATAAAGTTGTAGTAAAGAAGGGCATGCGGACAACACCGACCTGCCTTCTTCTTCTTCTCCTCTAAGCTGGTTGTCAAAGTTCATGTAATAAGCACAAACAGCGACGAAAGCAGCGGCAGCATTTAGCCACATCAGTCAGACGTGCCGACGATATGAGACTGGGACACTTGAAACTAACTTTTACACAATAAAGAAAAACACAAGAACTAGAACTCATCCATTTTCAGCTCATGCCTCAAACTTCCGCTCAGCTGACAGGAGCCAGGAGCGGCTTCTTCTTCTTTCACCTCTCTTAGCAGTTTCCAACAAATCGGCACATTACCGCCACCCCCTGGAGACAGTTTGCAACAGCCCGTCTATCTGTGCCACCTGCTTCCTGACTCTTTCTGTAGTGCAGAGAGCACTTTTGTATGATGTCATTAAGATCCACATATACATATCTATATTTATCTTTTCTTCTTTGCTTTCTTTCAGCCCCATATTTCTAACAACGTAATATAATCAATGAATAAAGGGGTTAGATTATTATATGAAAAATAAATAAAGCCCTAAAGTGAATAAGCAATGTCCCAGCGCTGAAGTGCTGGACATTCTGTCTGCCATTTGTCCAGTTCAGGAGTGATACAGACACTGGCACCTATACTCAATTTAGAGGCATGACTGCAGGAGGAAGCCACACAGACAGCATGCAAACACAGGTGTAAGGACCTTCTTAATATGAGGTGACATCACTAATGACCACACCACTGTGCGATCTGAGAGAAATCAGTATTTCAGTATTATCAGTAATTAATATGTTTATGTGTAATTGAAGTGCATTTTCAGCATTTATTAAATAAAAAGTTGAAAAGTAAAAATGCTTTATCTGAGTTCAGCATCAATGCTAAAAGTGTGACTGAGACAAAAGTTCTTGCAATAGTAAATGTGCAGCTTTGGGGGGAATGCTGCAGATCACACTTTGGGGTTCATTTTTAGCCTGCAGTCTAGCAGTTTCACATCTCTGTCGGCCTCAGAGCTTTAACAGCAGCACTGTGTATTTTAATTAATTTTGTTGGTCAATAATAACAAAAAAAAAGCATGTATATGTTCTGATGCATCTTGTATGTAAAAATGAACAGAAAACTCTTTGCAGTGTTCTGGAACTTGCATACAGGGCTTGTTTGAGATGATTTAAGAATTCCACAAACATAAATTATACAAGGGAGAAAATGTATGTAAATTGATGTAAAACAAATCAACTGTACTTGAGCTGAGAACATTTGAACTGGGTGGGTTTTTATAATCGATTTATCGATTACAATCGATTCTGGCTTGGGTAACGTAAAATCGATTCAATAAAATCCTGAATCGATTTTTTAATATAAATTTATTTTGCCCGAAATGCGAGAATCTCAGGTTAAACCTCACAAAATCTCAACAACCACCAAACAGCTAAGACAGTAAATGAGAGCAGGAACA